GCACCTGTCACACGGACCACAATCGCGACGGCAATCGCAGCACAATCGCACCCGATCTGTTACACCGACCGTCGGCTCCGGCCTTGCATATGTGACATGCAGCCACCGTTGCTTCATATCGCGCCGATGGAAAATAAAAAAATAAAAATAAATAAATAAATAAAAAATAAAATAAGAAAGAAAATGGTTTGGAGAAATGGTGGAAATGGATATATTTATGCTTGAAAGAAGTATGTGACAATGAATTAATACAGAATGAACTACGCTTTGAATTTGTGTGCATGGTTTTTGTTTTTGCTTTATTTTTGTTTTTTGTTCATTTTCACATGGTTCCTCTGAGTATAAATACGTCCTATTGACGTATTGCAACGCTGCAGAAAACCTTCAGTGAGCCAGAGTCCGACTAATCATTTTCAATTTAGTCATTTCAAGCTCCCTTAATTGGCGGAAGGGAGAAATAAGGGAAGGAAAGGGATAAAAAAAGAGGGGAGAAGAGATGGTAAAGATGCAATTTAAAGCTCCTTTAAATGAAGCGGTAAACAATTTTAAGAGCCACTGAAATTATTATATTGAAAACAAATCTGACTGTCAACCAATCGGACTTTTAACTTTAGAATCATGTATGTGCTTGTCCGCGGGAGATGGAACGTTTGTCGACAAAAACTTAGGGTGAAACTATTGATAATGCGAGTGTGAAGGAGTTTTCCACAAATTTGAGATGAAAAACGCACAAAAATGTCAAACAAAACCGGAAATATTGTGAGGGCTCTTGCTCTATGAAAAAAATATACTAAAAATAAAGATGTTTTGAGGAAAAACTATCTAAAATTTTTATCCGTTATGCGTTCAAGATACGGAATTGCTAGATTATGATGCAACTTTAGAATCTATAAAAATTGCCCTCTTAGAAGGGAAGTTAACATGTACTGAGCAGCATCACGCCTTTACGGACATTTGCCTCTACTCAGCCACTTTACGTAAACAGGTAACAGTCGTACATATTAAACATAGACTCTCGTGTGGAATGATAGGTACACATCCGATAGTGCTGCTGGTTATGCGCTTGTGATCCATTACTCTGTTGCCACTACTAAAAATTCAACGTGTTTCTATTCCAAGCGATTCGTTGCTGATCGGCTTTTCATCGTTATTGGCAACAATGGTTTCAATTTACTGGTGCAATTATTGCAACGGAATTATGACGGCTGCCAATTCGAATATATAAGAGCTCATCTACAATAACCTTGTGCCGATCCAAGAGATAGATTGCGATGAAACTTTCCGTGATCTTCCCCGGGAAATGAGACTGAAAGTGGCAAAATCAAAAAGTTCTTCAGACGTTTCCAGCGGATGCTTAACCTTGTATCATCCTCAAATATGAGCTTAAGCACGGTGCATTCTTCCTTATTAGGTTATTACACAAATTAACCTAACTTTCTTCTTGTAAATTAATACTACGAATTTTTATTGTTATTATTTTCCCTTCATTGGCTTATATTGAATTGTGGCAAAAAGATTCATGTTTTAATGTCCGTGCGAAGCACTGCAGCAAACTGCTATTCTTAATACGTTGGAGAGCCTTCATTTTCGTATGATACTAAGCAACACCTCTGTTGCAAAATAGTCGCTTAAAGCGCCGCGGCGCATTGGGTGAAGGCGACCAGCGCTCTAGCGCCTACAAACCTAACAGGCATACTCCACGCATTGCGCAATGCGTGAAGTATCCCTGTTAGGTTTGCAGGCGCCAGTGCGCATGTCGCGCTGGCAGCACGTCGCGTCGCTCCGCTCTGTGTTTGGCTCTAATTTTTAAACTCGCGAAGTCAGCGATTTTCAACTCATGATTTCGAAATGTTTGCACACTCTGCATGGATTATTCTCATTTAAATTGATTTTAAAAAATGTATATATTGAGTTTTGTAAATTTTAAGGTTGTATCGTGTCACATTTATTGATTTCCAAAACTTCTTATTTTTTTCTTTTATATTTTGTGCTTTTACCGTGCTGCACCATGGTGTGCGTGGAACCAAACGCTCGAAATTGGACGTATGTGACTCTAAAAAATCGATGTACAAATGGGTGAAAACCAAAGATTCCGAGCTTTTTGATTCCGAGATTCCGAGCAACTTGAGAGCTTTTATGAGCTTGGGAGTTGATTTCAGAGAAAACCAGTGGCGCACCATCGTGTTTCTCGCGAACTTTTACATAAGAATCAACAGTCAAATCGCAAATTCCTTACACATGCAACATCTCCATAATAGTCTGTTAAAGGGAGGTTATCCCGCGTATCATCAATGGATGTATCCGCGTATCGATGATTCGGCAATTTCCGTAAGTACGAGTATGCTGCTGGGGAAACCAAAAATGTCATTCTCTATATTGATCGTCGGAGAAAGTCCGTATACGGATGAATCAACCATTTAAACCTTGAAATGAATCGAAAAGTATCAACACGTATATTCATTGTAAGTACCTAGAATGCGTATAAGCAAGACTAAGGATCTACTTGAAGCGTTCAGTGACATTTCTCTGACATTGCCAGATGAATTAACCCATCGAAATACTTGGAAGCTCACAACTCCTTCATCACTCCAATCTTCATTAACAAGCTACTGGTCGCGTGCTAAACAGGTTTGCAAACACCTGCAGTTAATACCCGCTGTTTTTTTCATTGCGTTTCGCTGTTGCCAACTACTTTTGAAGCTGGACTCTCACTGTATAATACATTAAAAAATTATACATCATAAATTTAGAATGATAGGTAGAGCAATAGGTAGAGAGCGCCAACTCCCTAAAAGGTTGCGGGAGTAAAGGGTAGGCACTGTGGCGGTTAGGCGTTGCAGAGCGCCATAGAAAGCTTTGAAAGCGACTCTTGGACCAATGTCTACTTAATACAGAATCAACATCATCGTGATACCGAGACGTGTGTTGTCGATTCATAATAGACTATTAGATAAGGTTTTACAGCGACAGTTATACGCAGCACCGTACAATATGTTTGTTAATCATTTAAAAAAAAGACCGTTAAACATGTTAAAACAGTTCAAAATTAACTGATAAATTTTAATTAGTGTTCATAGTCTATCGTGCGTAAAATCGGTAAATATAAACTTTCTGATTATTCAGAAAACAAAAGAAATAAAATCGATGAGGATTATTCGCCTCAAAAAATAAAACTTATCAATACATTCAATAATCAATCGGACTGATAGCTAATCGCGAACTCCACAAAAAATGTCCTTCTCTGATGTGCGGTATTTATAAACTCGTTCGAAAAAATTCAGCATCTGGGCTGAACTATCTCAGTTTTAAGGAACCGTGAAATTAGTTTAGTGGCCAGATTGACAAGAGTGGAGTTGAGTTTTTGGCAGCGGGAAGTTTGATTCGTTGATTTCGGAAATGTCTGTGCCGACCGTAGTCCATGTGAAATCTTGGTGAGAAATTATGTTTCTTAGTTATTCCTCACCCTGACAAGTAATCCAGTGTAAAAACCGATCGAAACCATGTCGCTCCAAATATATTGGAAAGGAAGAAAAGAGAAGGAGTTTACTGCCGTGCAACGCAAAAGCGCCGTAAACGCCATTTTACATTTTTGGGAAACAATGTATCATAGCAGAGAAACTTGGGTACCTCGGGACAATGTTTTTACAGAAGTCTTTAATAAATACTATCAAGAACTGATCCTGAAAATTTGAGGTGCTTGGGTAAAACAGTTTTTATTTCATGAAGTGTTAAGTTTCAAAAAACGAGGGAAAATCTTGATGGACTTACGGCATTCTTGCTTAGCACGGTAGTATAAAAGTCGGTAGTAGTTTCCCACGTATGACTAGCTCCAACCGAGGAAAGTTAATCCGTATTCGTTATTTTTTGTGCCCTTGTGCAGCCAACAAACCAGCATGCACTAAAACTTACTCTTAATATACAATGATGATTTTAACGCGTGATGCATAACGCCCGAGACGCAAAGCGCCTGAGGATTGGGCCGCTATGCGGTTAGTAGGGCGCAGCACCCTGGTAATAATCATACGTCAATCTAACGATATTTAAGGTTGTGAATAAAATCCGACGTGAAATCTAGAGGGAGTATTTACAACCTACAATATTTCTAGATCCTAGAAGATACAGCTCCTTAATCTCGTCTCCGACGACGGATATGCGGATATTTCAGTCACTGTTGGCAGTGGTGGCCCTAGTTTTGCCAAATTTTGCAATCCAGTTTGCAAATATGACTTTGAAATCCGCAGACTGTATCTTCAAACAATCCAAAATGCAACACTGGACATAGAACAAAAAGTCCGGAACCAATTAACACGTTTAGACGAAGAGTCTCTCAGCTTTACCAGAGCCACTCGTGGTCCTACTCCCGTTGATTCATCTCCCTGTTTGGCTTTGAAGAGGTGCTACACAGTGCCGTTGCGATATATCGATTGATCTGCCATTTAAACCTATGAAAAAGCATCGATAAACAGGGTGTCCGCAACGAACATCTTAATGATCGATTCTTTACCATAGCTTCAAATGGGGAAATATAGATAATCGATCATTCACACCTCGCTACTGGTACTACAAAGTTGGTTACCTGACTTTCGCCGCTCGGTAACCTTTTGGGTTATCTTCTTGGCAAACGACGGCGTAATCAATTTTATAGGTCATGGTTCCTTCCTGAGACATATAAACACTTTTTGCACGAATTTCTAATAAAATATAGTTTTCCCGCGTATTTTCGAATGATAACACGTAGGTTTCTTATAATATGACCCGCACTTTCTCAAAACTGCAGTTATTCAATATTAAACTTCAGACCTCACCCAATGGTGTGGTGAATTACACTTTGTTGCACGTAATAATCCAACCTTCTCGATGCAGCAATCAAGACTGCTGGGAGATCGGTCTCAGAAAATTTCAGAGTAGTTTCACTGCCACACATTGCATCTCGTATGTCTTCAATGATTAAATTCTGGTTGTTTTTCGTCTTGATGTTGTTTTGTTTTTCTTCCGAGAGCCCACTTTAGAAACTGACCTCCTGGCGGATTCATAGACGGTGGTAAAGGATTTCTGAACGACCCTCCTTAAAAGATGACCACCCAATCGTATAAGTCATCCTCAATAATTGTGGGTCTTCATTTACCCGAGTTTCTGAGATGCCCGCTAGTTGCGAGTAGGACTTCATTGGTAAGAGGCTTTTAAATTCACTCAATTTAAACGATGAATACTTTACTTTAAAGAAATCAGCAAGGGAAAAGAGTTAACTAATGTGGAGCATTGCGATTACGCCTCGCACCATCGCGCCTTCAATTTTACAGATGCAACACGGAGATCCATCAAGTACGAATAGTTGTATCATTGCGCCGTCATCAACGCGCGCATCCTTTCCCTCGCTCTATTTCCTTATTGTCTTTGTTTTTGTTTTTCTTATCTGAAGTGGTACTTCAAGAGCTACGTGAGCAATACAGCCGAAGATAGGAGAGACGTGATCGGGTTTCGTTTTCAAATAATTTTTTAAGGCTTTTGAGCATTCAGCTAAAACAATCCTGGAGTAAGGTGAATGACCAGAAACGCGTGCATAAATTGTTCGGGACCATCATGCAAACCTATCGTAATGATTCATTACAGCGCGAGGTAGTCAAGTTGCTCACGGGGAGAACAGTTAGTTAAAATTGCGTTCCATGAATATGACATCTGCAGTGAACGCACATTTTAATAGCCAACAAAAGTTGAAAGTGTATGCAGTAGAATTGAGAGCAGCACATTCGGTCAAAAAAAATCAACAATTTAAGTAACAACTTTAACGGAGGAAGGTCAGAAAAGAGAACAAATTAAAAAATATACATATATAGGAAAGTATCCTCCCTTTTTAAAACCTCCTCGGGATCAAGTCCTTATTTACTCTTAGAACAACCTTTGCTTGATGCTGATAAAATATGTAGCTGACATTCCTCAATATTCACTCGTTCTGAATCAAGCCAATCCTGACAGTATGCAGTTTTTAACCCTTCTTTGATAAAACTTACTAAAACGCCACTCAACTTAATCCAACATTAGAGAGAGAGCTATCTCTGAATTGCACTAAGATTTTAAGGAGAAGTTTAAATTAACTTAAGTTATTAATCTTCCACCCGCAGCTATGCAATAACTTGTTGGCTGGACAAATAATTAACATATGCCAAGGAAAACGAACCCTTAGAGAGTCAACTATGGAGGGTCATTCAAGGAGCCAAATACTTCCTGGTTCGGATGTTATAAAATTTGTACGAGGCATCTATTTTCAAAAATTTCAAGTCTCAAAAAATTCCTCGCTGTGCGACAACAGTGCGCGCAGTTGCCGGTTTTAAGATAATGTAATAAATGCAATTTTCTTTCTCACCAACACACAATTGCTCTTTATGATCGAGAAGTGCAGCCACTCGCCATGCCGCCGGTTTCATGCAAACGACTTGACAACTCGTGGCGGTGCGCATGAATAAGGAATAACTAGGGTTATTTACCTGTGTGGTAATTCCTCACTCCGTTCATGATTGTCCTGCCGCTAATGTCCCTGCGTCGATTCTAAAATCCCATTACGGTAGACACGTGGAAAATGGACGCAAGCTAATCACTGACACGATAGCAAAACCGATAATGTTCGACGTCCACTTTTGCTGGAACCGCGATGCGTATCCTCACCAATCAAGCATCAGCAAAAACTTATCAAAACGAGCAGAATATCAAATTAAGAAGGGAAAAATCCAAACTTTCGCCGAACAAGAACAGGTAAATATTTCGCTGCCTTTTATACTAGAGAGAGTGTATACAGGAACTGCTAGAGTTCATTGAATTTCAACTTGGAGACAATCTCATCCATGTCCCCTCGGCATAATGAGTCAGCATGGCAAACCATTGAAATAGGTGACTCAGAAGTAGAATTGATTACTATGGAGGAACTGCGTTTAGCTTTATTTAAAATTAGATCGGGAAAGGCTTCGGGTCCGGCTTACATACTGCTAGTACTTGCTAAAATTTTTGCTGATACGAATATTGAAGATTTTTTGAAAATGCTTAATGAGCTGCTTGTTGAAGGCAACTTTACCCGAGGGGAATGAAATTTTGTCCGAGCATCGAGGACACTTAGTATAAAATTTGAGCAAAGTTTGGGCCAAATCCAAGGGGAGGCCAAAATTGGCGTTTTTGAAACAACCTCTTTAAAATCCTAGGCGAATAAAAAAAGATCAATTTCTCTATTGCAGTGCTTCAGAAATATTGTCGTCAGTCTTCTTAATATTTTTTGATTAATTTATCAAGACAATTATTTCCTTCGAAAACCCTACTGGCATTTTTAATATTTTCGGAAGATTTTAAAATTTTGTTTGATGATCTCTGCCAGTACGATTGGTGCTAAAAATTAAATTGAAAGCGGTTTTCACAGCGATTGCGATGGGATCAGCGTTGAAAATCCGACCCACAAAAAGAATAAGAAGCGAAAAAAATCCGGACAAAACTAGATGACTGATTTTCTGTTGTTTTTGTAGAAGAGACGTTCATTTATACAATATTTTATTAGGATTTGTTTGAATCTGAGTCGTCTACTGCTACTCAAAAAAATGAACTGGCAGTAAAGTCCTTTGAGTTATTTGCGTATTTTCACCTATAAAAATATTTGCGTGATATCTGATCTTGACTACCATTTTATTTTCAAAGAATACTATCCAATGAATATGTGTTACATTATGTTGAAACAGTGAATAACCGCAGCACAGACGTTTGTACAAAGTATCGCGCTAATGCATTTAATTAAGCGTTATGGGCAAAATTTGAAAGCGCCTTCGTTTTTTGGATAGGCAACACGGACATCCATAGAGTACGAATAGTTGCATCCTACATCAAGGCGCTATGACCAACCTCGCAACGTGTTCTTTGGCTGAGATACTAACTGAAGGAGTCGTCTTGCCGTATTGGAAATTCCAAATGAAACGCAATGATCCTCTTCTTCTTATCTGTGGGTTTCGAATTTCAGGAGACAGCAATTTTTGAGGGACATATTTTTACTTGGGTATTACGTAGAAGCTCGTAAATCGTTCAAGCTCTTTTACGAGAGCAGTCTCATAATTCACCGTAAACAAAAACTTAGATTTTTATGTTACCGGCTAAAGCAGTGACATGGACGTGCCACAAAAAAGCCTAAAGCATGTTTTCTTTTTGTTTTATTATGATTTGTATATGCAGTGAAATCGGATTTACTCTCTCCTGGTATCAGTGCTCTCTATGAAGGAATAAAAATTAGTCAGTGGATAGAAGAAAGGATAATATTGTAAATTTCTAAATGATAGAAATGTCAAAGTAACTATCATTTTGACCGGGTAAATTGCAAATCAGTAATGCTGATTTTTTGTGTCCAATAACAGTAATCACCTAAAAAAATATGTTTTACTTAAAAATTTTAAAATATATTCACATATTTTATGTACAATGTTGTTCATGTTAGGATGAGGTTTCCTCACACGGTAGTCAGTCAAAATCCGAAACAGTTTTGCAGCGTCGGAGGGGGAGGGGCCATTGGTCACTGTGCGACAAAATTAATCAAAATGAATGGAAAGAAATTGAATTTTACCTTAATGAGATAATTAGTGTTTTATCCGACAGAGAGGATGCAAATTCAAAGGATGAAGGAGTCCCGAGAGAGATGATTTGTGTTTATATCTAAGTCATGAAAAATACTCCTTCAGAAAGAAGAATGTTTGCCCGAAACTGAGACGGAAAGCTTTGCCCAAAAATCTGGCCTTAGATTAAAATTTCACGTGAGGTCAAAAGGAAGAGAAAAATCCCCGACTGCAGGACACGACTTTCCCGATCGGAGTTGAGCTGGAATTTTCTTCTTTTTTTTTTTAAGAAAAAAAAAATAAAATTCGGGACCGGCGGCGATCCGAATCTCGCGGCGGTTAAACGGGCATGCGATCACCGAGGTTCGAACTATTTTGGTCGGAAAACGAACCACTAATGAGAGAGGAGTCCTCTTGAGAGAGGCCGCTAAGAGAGAGGGAGGAAAAACAGAGAGAGACCAAGAAAGACGGCGCCGACTTGGAAGAAAACCGTGGTTGACCTTCAGCTCAGCATCTGCACAATTACAATGCAATAGACTCTCCGGACATTGCGGCAGAAGAGCGTATTTTTTCGATGAAGCGTATGTACAACGCGCATCTGTACTGACGTCATTAATGGATAATCTCGATCTCGATGACATGTGGATTGCATTTTGCAAAAAGGAACCAAGAGCATCCCAATGTCGCCAAGATCGTGCAACTTTTTTTTTACCTTGCAAATATAAACTGTTATAGACTACATTTTGCAATAAGGAACCACTATTTCTAGCTCATTTTAGAAACAACATATATGCCATTGGATTCCCTATGTAGGAAGGTGCTTTCACGGAAGAGACAGCGATACTGGTTCCTTATTGCATATTGTAATCCAACTGATTATCTGAACAATTTTTAGCTTTACTCACAATGAATTATAAATTCAAGATAAAAGTTACCGTTGTAAATTTAATTTTTTTCATGATTTCAAGAATTGTATTGCAATTAATCACGCAAGTCGCACAATCCTAGCAACGGTGGAATGCTCTTGGTTCCTTTTTGCAAAAGACAATCCACTCAGACCGCGTTTAGCAGAAAGGAACCAAGCCACATATGCTATTGTCAAATTTAACCGGGTAATTTAATTTTTTCCACCAGAGAACATTCGCGCGGATATATAATATAAAGTCGATTTACAACGCACTCTGGCGTTCTATGACACCCAAACGCCACATATGCCTGTCTTCCCAGAGGTTATCGGGCAACTGACACCGCAACATCTCTTCGTCAACGCTTTGCCGCCAACCCTTCACGGGACGTCCCCGTCGCCTCTTCCCAGGTGGTACCCAATCCAAAACTTGCAGGCAGGAAAAGGAGGAATGGTTACTTGTACCAGTATATAGTATTTTCAGATTAAGGGAGTTGCCTGTGACTAAGAGTGTCGGCCACCCGTTTGTTATCGGGACTTTAGTAGGACGTCATTTTCCTCGACCGGGGGTGGCTACCGCCACTCTTGATAACGTTTACCTTTCTTCTGGTAGAATTGACGCTATGTGAAATACAGCGCGAAGGGATGGTAAATTCTACCAATCTTTTTTCTTTTAGTGAGTTGCCGATCCGCTGCTATTAATTATGTGTTTTAGGAGCGGAAATTTTGAAACTCCGCAACCGAGATAACTTTTTCGCAGTTTCATCGTCGATATTCATTATTTTTCCTCTGTTTTGATCTGTTTCAAAGTTTCCGTGATTCCAAAACGAACTGCCCGGATTGTTTCTTCCAAAATTTTGGTTCTTGGTCGCACAACTGACGGCTCTAGAAATTCGATGTCGCTGCCTTCACCCTGAATATATCGCGGATGAGCCAACCCTGAAGAATGCCACGGCGAATACATTTGCAGCGCCCTGAACCTCACCTCCCGCTAGCCACGCCGATGTTGCCGCTTCAAAGATCTCCATCATTGGCTGAAAGTCAAAATTTGCAATTTCATTTCGTATCATAGTACAAATGCTAAGATAGAAATAAACTATCGCTGGTGCTTTTGCATGTAACCTTGCCTGGTGATCATTGACTTTTTTGCAGGTCTATCGGGCATGCTTGCTTGGCAGATGAGATGCATGCAACTCACTCAGCAAGCATCTTTGCATGTTATTTTTTTTAGTCATTGTCAGCCAGCATAGGTGGTGTAGACTGCCGTGCTGAGGGAAAACGCCGTGTGAACATTCGAGAGTTGCTAAATTTATTCCGATCAAAAGTTCATTAATGAAAAAAGTTATGCATATTTGTCCATGAAATTTTCAGACGCTTTAGATTAAATTACAAACAAAATTATCTGAGAAATTGGAAGAAAAATGTTCACAAATTTTCCTGAAAATTAGTGATTGATTGAAGGAAATTTGGCAACGCCTGAAGGCTCATATGGCGTTTTTCCTTAGCACGGCAGTTGGGGTCGAGAGATTGGTCGCTGCCCGCACTATAAGACCCCTGTTTGAACCCTGAAGATGACAAGTTTGTAGAGACACTAGACAAGGCACTCCTCCTGAAAAATTTGCTTTTATGCACCAAAAGGAAGACTCCTCGTTTGTAAGGATTGCTCTTTACTTCGTATAGAACATTGAAATTCACTTGGTTCAGATAATCGGAGTATTCAGTCAGACAATTTACTTCGGTCTTGAGTTAACGGTCTTAATTACAACCAGTCTTTGAGAAAGAATTCGAATTATAAAATGCGAGTAGGTAATAAAATGTTGGTGACCTGCGAGCTATATTGAAATTTATATACAGAGCATGATGAAAAAGCGTTGCAAATTATGCTGAACATGTGATAGATTACCCGTACCAGGTTTTTCTTATTGGTTATTTTAGATCGATTGAATGTCTGGATGTTCCGGAGGTTGAATAGGAGAAGGGATCCTGGGGAAAGTGACGAACTTCGAAATTATGAAAGTCAGATTCCGGGAGTCCATTTTCTATTAGACACCCCAAACATGAACCGACCTGAAATAACTAGCCTAGCACGGGTGATCTAACACATGTTGTGCATTATTTTCAAAGCATTTTCACGTGTGTTCACTGGATCGTCGTATCAACAACAATGTCAATCGCAAAGTAACATGTGCTGATGAAGTTGTAATTGAAAAACGATTAAAAGTGAAAAAAAAATCGATAAAGGTTCGATTTAGATCAGCATCAAAATATTATTATTTTTAAATGGCCTAAATTTTTAATTCAATTTCTAAACCGCGCTCGGGTAGCATAAAGCGTGGTGGGGCGTCTCGCTCTTATATTTCAGTCAACATAAGCAACGCATTCGATAGTGTTGACAATAACGCCTTTGAAACAAAGGGCCAGATTTACTTACTTGCCGCCCTTGGGTCGCCTGTATTTTGCCGCCCCATTCTCATTCGTTTTGAAACATCGATAAAAAACCATCAAATGAACGTGCCAGCGGGGGAGGGGTGCATCAGACGCGTTTGCTCGTGTTGAGCACTTTATTGGGGAAAGCCCTGTCAATACCACTAGCAAAAGTTCACGGAACTTTGCGCGAAAGTGAAGTTTCGTAAACCTATCTCTTTGTGGACAAGGCCTTCTATTCGTAAGAGATGAACTAAAAAATTATGAAAGAACAAACATAAATGTGGATTAATGATTTTAACTTCCGCCGCAGCGCCGCGCAGACCGCACCGTGTTTGGCGCAATGCGTGAAGTATTCCGACAGTCTTGTAGGCGCTATGAGTTTCACGCCGACCGCTGCTGAACGCACTGTGTTTGACGCAATGCATGAAGTATTCACGCAATCTTGTAGGCGATATCCGTTTTACGTTGACCGCAATGACCGCACTCTGTTTGATGCAATGCGTGAAGTATTCGTGCGCTCTTGTAGGGGCTAATATGTGTTACATGCCAATCGCCACGTCGAGTTCCTCTTCTTTTCATCTCAAGTTCTCGTTACCGTTTCTCTCTAAGTCGCGCCGTTCCAGGCCAAATTGCGTGTTTGGTTTCTCTCTTAACTCGACTAATTAAAGGTGCTGTCTCTTGTATCACTGAAAGACGACAAAAGTAGAAATTACTATAATCTCAGAAAATTGAGATTTTGTCGCCTTTTCTCGTTTGTAATTTTTTTTCTAATCCGAATTTTTTTTATACCCACATTTAAAAAAAATTGCAAAATTTGCCGCCCCCTATAAATTTGCCACCATTGGCCGCGGCCCATGTGGCCACCCCCTTAATCCGACCCTGTTGATACAACTAATCGTACTCTACGGACGCGCATGTGCCATACGAAAAAAATGGAAGGAGCTCTGGTTGCTCTAGTCCAGGAAGCAGTGTAGACATGGAATGTGTGGCGCGTTGACACTAATATGTGGCAAGATGGAATTCTCGGATAAAAACTAAAGAGAAGGCTATTTTTTGCATCATTATAACAATCTAGATTTTAAAACTCACCACTGCAGTGAGTAGTGACAACGCGTGGCTGCTAGTACTGCGTCATTATTGGTTAGAATGACAGCAGCACCTTCAATTTTGAGTACGCAAAACGGACGTCCATAGTGCACAAATATTTCCATTAAGGCTTTATTACCAATATCCTTTGGAGGAGTGGATTTCCAAAGGAGTGGAATCACAGCCTTTCAAAGGCAAACAAGCACCGAATATACATATGATGCCATCGTTAAAAGTATCGTGCTCTATGTGGTAGTGAAGTGTGGCCGCTCCTACAACGCACTCTGGCGTTCTGCGACTCCGAAACGCCACGTATGCCTTTCTTCCCAGGAATTATCGGGTCCACGAGCGGATTCAGCAATTTGCTGACATCGGGTTTCCTCCAATTAAACCTATGTTATATAATCGATACTTGTCGGAGCGCCTAGCCCTTCTAAGAATCGATATATTTTCTTAGGTGTAAATGGAGAAAAACAATGTTACCAATTCACGGGATCCGCCGATGCCATATCTAAAACTTGTTTGAGGAACCTCACTTTTCAACTTGTTTTTTTTTTCTTTTTTTAGAAAATGACAGTTGAACTATACTGCTAGGATTTTGAGTATTTTTTCAGCAGAGATGACTCTTTCCTTTTGCTCCAGCAGAAGTTTGCAGGAGGCCTATTAGTCCAGAAAAATGGTAGTACCTGTCCACTCGGAAACGAAAGTGTCTCACGTAATGATTGAGCATCATTTCCGACGGGTCCAAGGTCGAGGACCAAGAGCGGGGTCTCGCAGAAACGGGCGAAATGCCAATGAACCACCGGGTTTTGGCATCGCAAAAGTTCAATGTCATTGGCTGAAACGATTGCCGCGAGTCGTCCCCGCCCCCACCACCCAAAGATGTCTTCGGTTTCGCTTTGGAGCCGCGGAGCTGATGATCGGCTTGTTATCTCCCAATAATTGATTCAAAGAAAACGTTTTATGAATGAGCGTCAACCCCCCTCTCCCTCCACCACATTTAAGAGAGTACTGATGTGCTAGGGCCAAACGTTGTCTTAACATTCGAAAGTTGCCAAATTTGTCTAAAAAAAGATGTATATCTGAGAGAAGATTTTTTTTGTTGGAAAAGGGGGGGGTGTATCTACCCCTAGTGGTTTCAAAATGAGCTCGCTCATACTGTATCTCAGTCCATGCCGAATCCGGACAACGCGGCGAGAGAGTAGCAAAACCAATAAAAAATAGATAAAATAAATATCTGAGGGAAGATATGAATATTCTCCCTTTGAAACACATTAATACTTTCTAGGAACTGAATAAAATTTTCCCGGAATATCTGTTTGCCAGTGCATAGTTGTGGCTACAAATACTTCCACATCCCTGATTTGCCATCGTTACCATCATTACCATCAATCATTACCATCGCCCTGTTTCCGGCTAAATATCTAAAATAAACACTATAATATATAATGCATACTTAAATATGTATAATAAACACCTTAAAAGATTTCTTTATTCTATGCGCCCTGTTTGAACCGTTCCAGCCAGAGTCTGCTGTGGTACATGAAAGATAGCTACCGGCTGATTATTGGCACCGATGTACAAAGCTATAGATACGCAGACAAAAGGAATTGGAGCGATCCTATTGTTTGGAACGGGCGGTTGTTGTAAACGAAAGAAGAAATTATGGAGTAAACAAAGGGTTTCTCGTAGGTTACCGTTCGTTTATCTATTACTTACCTCCTTCGTCCTTTGCAACCATCCGCTTTCACCGACTGCATCCTTTGTCTATGACTATGTCTAACAATTTCAATAATCAACCTGCAGATAATTGTTCAAGGCCCAAGTAGCTACTCGATTATTTTCTCTGAGCTGGAACACTGAGGGCTGGATTCGTAGTCGTTCTTTAAATAGCTTTGTAACCTGAGCCAGTTTACCTGAGTAGATTCTCCTTCATCCTAAGGTGTAGGCAATACGCGCGTCTAGGAGCTTAAATAGTGGTTTCTATATTAATATCTATTTCATTGAAACTTTCAGGACCTTAATCGTAGTCAGTTATTCTCGGTCACACTGGAAAAAAAGTCGCTTGGATCTAGAGTCCTGACTCTTGAAAACAATGACAAGAAAAGATACTCTTGATTCAATCGGTTTTTTACTTGAATCAAAGGTAAATCCGCTTAAAATGAGAGTCTTGGTTCTCGATTTAAGCAAAAATCCGATTGGATCGAGAGTTTTTTTTCGGTGTTTTTAAGAGTCTAGACTCTAGATCCAATCGACTTTTTTCAAGTGCAGCAGGGGTAACTTCCACTGAAAAAATTGAAACAAAATAAATGGTCTCAGGATTTTCGGAAAATATATATATTTGCGATCGCGGTTGATTCAGCAACGTCTGAGGGGTCATTCGACGTTCTTATTTAGCACGGCAAAGTGGGCGTCCGATTTGGTCACCGACCGCTCGTCAGTTCATGTGTCGGTTACTTCTTCATCTGTCAGAATTGTTTGATGGATGGACGGGCTGGACGGAGATCTCGCGTTGATGTCGAAGTACGGCGAAATTCTGGAACCCTCCAAGTGTGGGTGCACGCTGAACACTCTGATGGCGGTAATTAGTCCGAATTAAACCAAAAGG